ATGTTTTCTGCCAGCATTAATTGTGTTTTCTTTTGTTTTATTTCACTTTTAATGGCTGTAGCTGTGGTGAGTCAACGGAATCGCTTTTATTTATGTTTTTTATTTTCCTCAGCGACAAGTTTCAACAACTCTTGTTTTCTGTTTGCCAAAATGTGGGTTAAAGTCCGGCAGATACAAAAAAATGACGCTTGCATATGCAATTTAAATTTTAAAAACATGTTAACAAAACTTTATGTGCTCGCGAAAAATCAGATGAACCAATTGATATATTATGTCGTGCTAGAAGTGATACTAAATATAATGGAGACCCTGGAACTTTGGAGCGTGTGAACCAAGTTGCCACTGGACAGCTTCATGATAGTACAAATTATTAATAAAAATGCATAAAAAACTGTCATGCTGTCGCTGGCTTGTAATATAGTCATAATAAAAAAACAGAAAATATATTAAAACACAAAAAGACAAGTAAATTGAACAAATGTTTATTTTTCCCGTTGATGCGCAATCGGGTGCAGTACAGTGCGGGCTATAAGTTGTGCTCAGGAATCGATATCGGCATTTGTGGGATATTGCTTAACCAAATTGATTAAATAATGAAAGGTTGTGCTAGTCAATATGAGCATATTAATGGTTGGCCGGTAATTCAAATCAATGGCGATTTTAGGTGGAGGTTTATATTAATAATTAGTTAAGAGCAAATTGAAAATCTAAAGCCCCTACTGGGGTAATATAGATATTTCATATCTTTAAATCTTACCCGACTTAAATTCAGAAACCCACTGTTGACTTAGAAGCCAATGCCTTATGCCAACCACAAAACCCGAAAAAGATAGCACAAATATGCAAAAATCCACCAAACCGAATAATGAATTACTGAACGCACAATAAACATTTGAATTTTTTTTCGTTCTGTTTGGCTAAATGCGAGTACAATGCGAAATTGGCAAATGCGCCCAAGGCCAATGGAGTTCATGACGAAAAGCAAATAAAAAACCATAAAATCAAATACATTTTGGCGCTTGCCAAATATGCGGGATCTGGCTTAATTGCAGCCGCAGAAGGCACAACAATCGCGCTGAACCTTAAACGTTTTCGAGCGTTCGGCCATTTCTGGTGACAATTTGTTAAGACTCCCGGCCCACACGGACGGCCAAAACGACGGAGGCCGAGACGAAAACCCAAGCGATCGCAGTTGACATTGTTTTCTTGGCTACAAAACAACGCCCACACGCTCATCAGCTGGCAGTCATCTAATTCGTGTGGTATGAATGGTTTTGCATTCATAAATTAGCCGCCAGATACTTAGATATGTGTCGCACTCAGCCAGTATACACAGATATAGTGTATAAATACTATATATATAGTATATTCCCCTGCCTCACCCGAAGTCGTGATCCAATGCAAATTGTTCTCCCAGCTTAAAACAATCAATCAGAGCCGCTAAGCCGCTGAGCTGAGCACGGTTTTAATTTGGTTTAGAGGTGTCTGCGCCATCTGTCTGGCATATCTTATTAGATTGACATGTTTAGGATTCGATAAGTTATATCCTCTTGGTGTATTTGGTGCGAACGAGGTTCTCGCTAATGGAGAACTGATCAAGGGTGTTGAGATATGCTTATTTGTCTGGGTATTGCCTTTAAATGTTTTGATATTTAGTTTAGAAAGATCGGTAGTGAGAAGTTTTTGATTAACAGAATTTATTTAAGCCTTTAAAACCTTGGCAAATAATTCGCTACCACGCTGTTCCATACATATATCTTATAAATATATATATAATAAACTGCTTCCACATTAATATTCCCGGTACTATGTACACATTTTATGCCCTACTTGCTGGCGGACATAAAGAACCCTTGCCAAAAAAATCGTGGTGCATAAAATTTGACAATTTATTGACGCTCGACTGGTTGTCGTTGCCAGTGGCTTTCGCATTTTGTGTTTCGTGTTCATCATCAAGTGCAGGAGGCTAAATTTAAAATTCAAATGTTGCAAAATGCGGCAACCAAGCAGGGCGGGAAATCTGATGTTATGTTATGTCCGCCCACCTTCTAGAAGGGCGACATCTCTGAGGAATCTCTAGAATCTCATCTGCCCCGATGATGTCACGCTGAATTTAAACAGTTCCATCCTTCTTGGCCACGCCCCCTTCAACCTTGAGCTTTACCCATTTTTATTCTTAGTTGCTTGACTAATAACACTCCATAGTTAAGGTTCTCGCCATAAGTGCTTTTGTGGGGGCTGGCTATAAAAAGAGCGCAGAAAAAAATTATACAAAATGATAATAATACTTGAACACACACGCAAATCAGCAGTTTTTTTTTTTTACCTCTCTACTTGGGGTGCCAAATTTGGTAGCTCCGTCCCTAGCCATATATAGAGGTCCAACTCGCTGTTGGCCAAGAGAGATATAGAGTCATAAGCGCGCGGTCTATGTAAATTATGAGTCGCGTTGCAAAAAAAAGATGCGGAGATTGCCTTAAAAGCACAAACGACTCGAGACTTGTTAATGAATAAAAAGATCTTTCATTGATAATTATTAGATTGGCACTGCTCTCGTTCTCCCCGCCCACTCTAGATACAGATGTTGTGGTATGTATTTGCCCGGTTCCGCTGAGTTATGCCCTAAAATGGTCAGTTGGCAACAGGTGATCTTGAGCCAGGGCCTTAATTATAGACTCCAGGCGGAGACTGACTAAGCTGCTATTAATTAAGCCGCCTGCGCATATGGCAGGGTCTTGATTATTGTAATTTATCTAAATGCCGCTATCAATCCCCAGAAGTGAATCAGTGAGTGACTCCGTCATCGACCTGCTCTGATCGCATATGCAAATGCAATTTTACACCAATTTGGCGCGGCTTATTCATCTAATCTGGCTGCACAATCGCAATCTTCGTGCCACTGCCACACATCGGTCACGTTGCAGATTGAATAGATGTGGATGCGGATTGACACTCGCTCGATTAAAATTGACAGCTGTCATGATTGCGTTTATGCCAATGGCTCATGGCTCAGAATCACCGAAACGATGATGATGATAATGATTATAATCTTTATGATGATGCCACCGATGGAATGCTCCACTTGCGTGTCGCAGTAAATTACACGAAAAGTGGTCAAGCAAATGAAAAGCCTTTCTGGAACTGCTCTTAATTATGGTCGACTGGGGAAAATCTCATCTCCATCGCTATCAATAATCGAGTCAAGTGTTTGAAGCGGCTCCTCTGATTCATCCTCCTCTTCATTCCGACTCTTTTGGCATTTTCTTTATGGGTTCTTTGGCCCGCAATGAACTCTGGAATAGACTGGCATTTCTTTTTCTTTTTTCGCACCGCTCGGAAAAAGTAAATTTAAATTTTGTGCATTTCTTTTCGTCTTCTTTGTTCGACTCTGACTGCTCAGATTTTTTTATTTGAAATTTTATTTATGTGGCAAACAGAGAAAGCCGGGGTATAAATTAGAAAATAAGCCAGTAGCTGGCTAGATAAAAATATCAAACGTAATTAAGTGAAATGCCATGAAAGATGTTGTTTAAAATCCCAAATTCAACAGGTCAAGAAACTCGTAGAAGGACTTTGTTTTAATAAAATATATCTTGATTATTATAATAAACATCCCTTTAAATTATATAATATATAATAATGCTTGTTCAAATAGATTTACCGATTACAATGTTGTTTTACTGATTTTATAAAATCTATTTAAAGTATTTCTGTTGTCAACAATCGCATACACTGTCAACCAAATCAGATAAGCGTATGTCAAAATGTTGACATTTAGTGAGAGAAGTCAGGCATTTAATTTGATGTCATTTAGTGGCGTATTCTTAAATCATTTCTGTGACATATGATGCAGTCACCTTAACCCCCTGCCGCCCCCAGGGGCCAACACACCCAGAACAATTACCCACTTTTAGTGACAAATTGTCAAAGCACATGCCAAAGACAAACAATGCAATTGAGCTTATGCAAAAATAAACAACACCAACTGCAGGAGGAGAAACACAAAATGTTGATCATATCAATTCGAGAGCCCCTGTCAACTGACACAGTTGGGGGTTGAAATGCCCCACCCCCACCTGCGCCACTGAAAATCCCCAGAAGTGTGAATTGCAGGGGGCGCTACTGGAAGGAGGAGGGGCGTGGCAGATATGACCTCAGTTTTAAGGGTGACCAATACATCATTACGATGATGCTAGGCAAATTATGGCATAATTTGTTTAAATATAAACCAAGTGATTTCATGGCTTAGGTTTAACCTAATAAATAAGTTAGAACAGCAGATGTCGATGGCTGAGTAAACACATTCACACGCCGTTTTATTGATGCTAATTTAGTAGGTTTTCCACCCAGAGGCAAATTAAACGTAATTTAATACAAGCACTTAGCAAAAATGACAAATTGAGCCGCACTCGGTTGAAGTGGAGCCAAAGAGCCTGCAATTAAAATTATCAACGCTTTGTTTGTTTGCCTTTCGTCTGTGTATTTATTGCGCTCGGAAATGAATAAAGGCTGTTGTAGAAGTCGATTTCATAACGATTAGTAACTATGCAATTGTGTAATTGAAGTGAAATGTAATAAAATGTATTGCCTTTTTAAAAATAAATGTATTAAGTAATAAAGTTTAGATTAACAATCAAAATGAAACTCAAAATACAAAGAATACTTAGTAATGATTTCAATAACTACTCCATTGATATTAAGAAAATACGCAGTACATGTAAGTACAAATACACGGTATATTAAAATTGACAGGATTAAAAAAAAATGTATCTAAATTTCTAGACTCAAATGAAATGAACAAGAATAAAATGTTATATTTATAAGTATTGTATTATATTATATAAAATACTACATTATTATTATATATGTTATACTATATAATACATTTCAAAATTTTAGAATTTTTTTTTTCTGATTAATAACTCCCCATTTTGTTCCAATTTTGTATTGTAAATGAACATGTATTAATCCATTCCTACCTTTCTTATTAATCTTTCCAGAAATTGCACGCGTGCGCGCCTCACTGTTCCAGATCAATGGGGTCAAGAAGGAGCCCCTTACTCTGCCCGAACCCGAGGGCTCTGTGGTGACGATGAACGAGAAGGTTTATGTGCCAGTGCGCGAGCATCCAGATGTAAGTGGTCCTAGTAGCATAGCGATGATAACGATGATCTAATTTATGGATTCGAGGAGAGCACACGACTTCCGCCAATTAGAATTGACAGCGCGTTCAGTGAGCAACTGGGCTACACCGGAAATGGCTTAAAGGTGTGCCAGCCAGCAGCTCTGTGCCGAGGTGTATCTTCTCCTCCGCCGATAGAGTCAGTCATCTGTTAAGTTGTCTTGAAAAAAGAAATAACGCCCCAGCAAGATGCCAAATGCAAAGCTACGATGCACCCTTCCACTTTTGCCCATAAATGCCTGCCCCGCCGATACAGATACAAATCGAGATATATACGATATATACGCGTATATAAATGGGTTAGACAAAATTATTGAAGCGTTTTAGGAAGTCGTTTGACGGCGTTCATTCGTTTCATTTGTCGCTCATTGTAGGCGTCGGAGCAAGTCACTCAAGCCAAGCCCTGCCACATTAGAATTTGATTTAATTTTATGCAATTTAAAATGTTTTCCACCCTTCACTCCCCTTTCCCCTACTTCAGACATGTATGTTTCTTTTATTTTTCCTTAGTTTTGTTAATTTGGAAATTGTTTGGGCGTAGTTTCGTTTTTTATTTATTTATGGCCTGACAGCAGTCGCAGTGGCGGAACTGAGGAAATTTATTTTACTGCATGACACACTTTGCTCTTAATGTTTATGTTTCTTGTTTTTTTTTTGCTTCGTTTCGCTTTTTCCCTTGCTGTTTTATTTGTTTCATTTTGCTTGCGATCCAGATAAATGCATAATTTAAATAGCATTAATTAGACTCGAAAGCATTTCAGATCGCACTCCGTTCGATGGTGTCTCTACTGATGTGGCTTCTGTTCGGCAGCTGTTTCAAATAATTTTCTTTGCCAAATGGCGCCAGTGGAGGGGCGATTGGGTGGGGCGATGACCCAATCAAATGATGTGGAATTAAATGATTTTTAAATCGATTTTAGTATCCCTGAAATTCGCCAATTAAGGCTGTTCACACAATGCTAGTATCGTTCCCTGGTATTTTTTTTAGTATTTACTGGTATTTTATTTGATATACTATTGTGGATCTAAGCTAGTGGTTTACAGATTTACATACTTTTTTGTACGACCGCAAACTTCTTTTTCATAAAGATTAATGTAGTATTCAAGCGGCTGGTCAAGTAAAATTTAATTTGCCAAGTCAGCACCACTTACAGAGGTTATAGAACCTTTTGCCTTTCCTGACCATCGTAAAAATTAATGAAACCAAAGTGAAACATTTTCTCACATGTGCCTTTCAATTAATTACCACCGGCCATTGCATATAGAAAATATTCTTAGTCCCAAGAGAGTTAAGTCGAGCGAAAAGCAAATACGAAAATAGACAGTCCGACATTAACATAAAATTGAACTTTATTAGGGCTAGACCCAAATAAAATGAATATGAATGAGTTAAGGTCATAAATTAAAAACAACATACATAATTTAATGAAATGAGAAGGATGTCGAGTGAGACACCTACTGATGATGTTGTTTCATGTGTTTTCGATGTTTTCCAAACGAAAACTGGCACAGATCTCTGGCTAAGATTTACGGCCCCGAGGGCCTTAGATTTTTCCGCTTGATTTTCCATATTTCAGGTGTTCCTATCTGTCTTATTTTTGAGGCCCCCTCAGATGTTGGTTCGTTTTGTGCGGGCGTTTTTCGAGCGCTCTTTTCTCATAAATCATACCATTTAATTGCAATCATTTCGGGCAGCAACAGCCTGCAATAACTAAAAATTCACATTGGAAAATTCTGACATTTTCCTACGGTCGCCAGTCGAATTTCGAAAATGTTGAGCTAGACAAATGGCGTTTCGAATAACATGGAAGTGCAACAAGTTCGGGGCAGAATGTTTATTGGTTTGCTTGTTCGCTTGTTTGTGTGCGCCCCGTCATGGGCATAAATTTCAAGGCATTAGCGCAGACACCGCCAGTCGCAAATAATAGCAGTTAATAATTTTATAACGCATTCAACAATGTAAATAGAGATTTGTCAGATGGCCGACAGGCCGACTACAACAATATGCCATGTAAATGGTCAACAATTTGTCAACCTGCTTCCAATGCAGAGGAGATGGCAGCGAAGATACATACTACTTACTATATATGTGAATGTTTTCTGATGTCTGGCTAAATCTTGTTTCCCTGGACGTGTCCAAAACATAAATGCAACTTAATTAAAAGTCCCCACAGAAACAGCGGAGGCATTAAAACAGTTTACAATTAATTACGGCAAACTATTAACGCTCCACGTTTTCTAGGGGTCCGCCTTTTAGCCATCCACATCCACATATCTTCTGGTTGTCCGCTGTCAACGCTCATTGCTCATACGCCCCGTGGCGCGTCATGCGACATGCGACATGTTGACCCACTGAGCCTGGCCAGCTTCTGAGTGATTTCGCTGGCTACAGAACTGAAATGATGTTTGACATTTTTTATAGACTTTTCGCAAACTCATTTTCGATGCTTAAATTTTAACATATGGAAGAGGGACAATTAGATGCGATATGGGGGAAATATTTCCAAGATGAGACAACAATGTTTTATAGGCAGTAATATACCTACAGACTTGCTTTAAAATGCTTATTTTTGCCAACTAAATGGTTCAAAATGTATTAAACTGAAATAGTGCAAACCTAATGGTTCAATTAAAACGTTAAAAACACTTTATAGCTTTGGTAATTATGCTCAAAATGGCCTGTAGGCACGATCACCCAAGCAATCTGCTTAGAAATTAATTAAGCAATTGTTAATAGATCCCATTGAAATGGGTGAATTCGCCTTCCGCTGATTAATGTTGCGGTCACACCCCCCACACAGGCCATTTACATACCACATCCACTGTGAACCATTTGACATTCGATTGGTGCTAAGGTCATTCGGCTATTAGACATATCGATCAACTGAGTAATCACGGCCATATTTAGGCCAAATTACATCCCAACAGCTGGCCATCTCAGGCATTGTGTTGATGTCTCCCCAAATCACCTTATGTTGCTTTTGGTTTCGCCTTTGTGTACTTTTGTTTATTGTCGAAGCCGTTAACACAAAAGCCAATTAATCCACAAACTGCAGCAAATTAGTCATAAACATTCAAATGCTAATTACGTGCAATTTTTATGTACACTTTTGGTTGTTCGGTAATTTAATAGTACAACCCCGAAACAAAAATATAAAAACGACAACAAATTGTGGCAAGAGCATTATTTTCAAGTTTGCTGCCGTTGTTTGTCATGTCAAAGTTTGATTTATTTTCCGTGTAATAGACGAGCTTTTGTGCATCGTAATTATGTGTGTGTGCTAAAGTGTATCTCTCTGTAGATGCGAAATACCTCATATATGTACACTATATGCATAGTAGTAAGCCTAATCTATTTGATCTATGCCGACCTTGCCTCGGTTTGCTTATGCATTTCTGTTTCCAATTTACCCGCCGGCGGCTCAAATGAAAAGATTCGTAAGACTCACTGAGTCACACGGGCAACGCGATTAAAATCTGAACACTATATAAAGTATAATGTTCTTCTACACTCGGCTACTCTAATGAAAAATTCCAAATATTCTCTTTGTGTGTGGTTTTCATATGAAAAGTTTTTGTGTTCACAATTGGATGGTCTGTTGTCATGGTCACCTGTTTTGATGTAGGAGGCGGTTTTCTTATCACAGCCTCCTCTTCTCGTGTGTTTGTTTGTACTTTCCTTTTCAGTATTTTCGGTGCCCTTTGTATGTGCGTCGCAGTTTGCTTATCAATTGTTTGTACCTTTATGCCGTATTGAAAATTGTTGTACGTATTGTATAAATATAAAATATTTTCCTTGCGCCCTATCTGAGCTCACAATCTGTGAAATAAAGCAGCAGAAGCCTACGCTCTCATAAAAGCACCCAGTACCTACCTATATGTGTGTGCACAGTGTACACTATACAACATTTATTTGTACGCTTCACTTGGCTCCACTCCACTTGACTTGCCTTCCAGCTCCCGTTGTCATCTGTCTTTTGTCTGCTGACTACAGCACTTTTGGCTCGAGTACGCGGGCAAAAGGTCAATATAGTAATACAAGACCCCCGGTCCCAGAGAGTTCATTACTTAGAAGGTAAAAAGTATTGGAACTTATGGTTTGAAATTATTTCTTTCCGTGTATCTTATGCGTGACGTCTTGAAAAGCACGCGTGCCACTTGAGGCCGCGTAATTGTTGAACAGCAGGAACAATCAGACAATAGAGGAAAAGGGTTCCATTATGCTACGTAGAATTCTAAAAATACTCATGGGTCTACCGTTTGCATTGTGCATTTATAAGGGAATTGAAAGTAGAAATAGCTATGTGGCCTTTTGAGCTTATTTTGTATTCCATTAATTTCACAGAGATTAAGCTTTATTCATGTTGTGTTAATCATCATAATTTGCATTTATTGTTAATAAAAATATTATTTATTAATTAATAACCAAGAAAACAATTATTCTTTGAAAAAAGCACTACTTAAGCCATTAAGTTTGACTGCTATATTCTTAATCTTTATTGCCACTCTTATGAGTTTTCTTTATGGGGAAAACTTCTTTCTTTTTAAACTCCCCACAAACACTTGAAAAACCAGAAGCAAGTGGAAAGCCCTTAAAGCACAATCATTTATAATTTATTTGGCCACTCGTATTTGTTTGGCATTCCACAATATTTGTAGAACGCAAGTGGCATCTGTTAAGTGCAACACGCAAAGGGGGGAAAATGGGTTTTAATTTCCGCTTAATGGCAAATGGAAGAGATCACTTGTGCAAACATTGCGTTGAGCCAAGGATTTTTAATTAAGCAACCGATACGGGGGCGATAAGCAATGCAAATATTGTCTTGGACTGGGTTTAATTTTTTTTTTTCCTGACATATGTGGAAGCTATCGGTTGCGGCCACATATCATTTCATTTTATTTGGCTTAAGCAACTTTCTCGCCATTGGTTTGGCCACATTTTGTGTGGACTTCAATGGAGGTTAAATGGTTTTTCGCAAAATTTAATTAAAATTGCCGGAGCCATTAGGCATTAACTGCATTCTTCGCGGCAATTTTCAATTGATTCGATCTCAGCAGAGCCAGTTGCAACTGCAGTTGCAGTTTCAGTTGCAGATGCAGGCTTTCAGATACAGATACATTCGGACTGAGTGACTGACAACAGCTGCCGCTGCTGCTGCTGCTGCTGCTGCTTTTTTGCTACTTTGGCTTTGGCTAACTGCTGCCGGCGGCTGTCTGCTGTCGATGATCGCATCGCTGTGCACTTAACATCCCCATATCTCACATCCCATCACATCATCGCATTCGCAATGGGTCTCCAGATGGATGTGGGTGGGTGGTTTCCGAAAGCCCAGGGCGAGACCAGAACTAGTTTAGCCCGCAATTTACAATAACTCAGATGGAAATGGTTGTGATCTGGCCAATAAATCTAATTTATCGGTTAGCCTACGGTGGTCAGTGGTTGTTGCAATCTGGCCAAAGTATATGATAATTGGGCGCCACGACAGTTGGGGTCACCGCATCGCTGATTTGGGCTTGGAAACGTTGTTGGCCAACATGCCATAGACGTCCATCATCATCGACAAGCGCGTCAAAAGATTTTTGCACGCTCCGCTAATAGTTTAAGCAAAATTCTTTTGAATGTCGCCGACAGCTGCACAGAGAAAAATAGTATCTTATGGTTATTAACTATATTTAAATTTAAAAAAGATTATTTTTGAATGCTTTGTTGAGGATCATATTAAAAATATAGATTTTTTCTACGGGATAAAATACTTGCTTTGAATAGTTTCCATTTCTTTCAAACCTCTTTACCTTCTTCACTAATATTCCCCTATTTTTTGAGTGTCTTGCTAACTGAGTGACTGCATTTGGCTATATGCACAAAGAGTTTGTGTGTCTATCTGGCTGATTGGTTTATCGTGCCAAATTCAGGCGTGTCGCCGCGGGTCATATTACGTTCGCCCATTGTTGTGCCCAAATGTGCTGTGCTTTGGATTGTGGGTGACTCCAGCCTTCAACGAACCGAATCTGACCAACGTCATACGCTTTAATAACTTCGACTTTGAACGGATCTGGCCTGGCATTTATGCATCCTGAGTCACGAGCCACGAGGCGATCTAATGCGTTTTAAATTTGCCAAAAAACTGAACTTTAAACCAAGTTAGCCAATTAATTAGATCATCGTACTATATGTTGATTCGCTAATGATTTCCTCTAATTTCGAGCGTCTAATTTAAATCTCCTCTCCTCTTTTCGCTTTCATTTCAGTTCAACTTTGTCGGTCGCATTTTGGGACCCCGTGGCATGACCGCCAAGCAACTGGAGCAGGAGACCGGTTGCAAGATCATGGTTCGCGGCAAGGGATCCATGCGCGACAAGAAGAAGGTGAGTGCAGTGCATTGTAATATGTTAAATGGATTCAGAATTCCAAATTGGAATTGGACAGGAAACGAGCCCGAGCGGATCGCACATTCCATAGATTTTTGAGCCATTAGCCGAGCACTTCAATTTCAATTTTAATTATCGTAAATAGTACTCGCGAGTATGGTACGCTTGGATATGAAAATTCTGTTGACAGTCGGTTTCCGTGCCAAATGGGAATTATTCTTAATTATAAGGCGAAAAATATGCCCCGCTCTTTGTGTCTTTGAGATTTTATTTCTGGCTATGATTGCCATGCGGTTGTTTCCGTGAAGTAATACGGCAACAGCTTAATTATTTGAAAAGCCAATGTATTTTAATATTTTAAGTTAACTTAAAATTAGCCAATATAGTTAAAACACTAATTAACTTTTTAGTAAACGATATTATTATAATTTTTTAGAAAGCTTTGATGCAATAAATATTATGATATGATATCTGATCATCATCATCATATGATATTTTATCATCATATCATATCATTGTTATTTATTGTACTATTAAAATGTAAAATAAAAAACCATTAATATTTTTATTTTAATATTCTTAAAAACTATCTTAAAGTTAAATAATTTGTTTGCAAAATACTCTCACGTATTTTCATATACCCTTATATCTTGTCACTCAAAAATGCTCAGATGATTTAATTTCCCCTGACGAAAAAGGCAAGTTAAATACGAGGGAAAGAAAGAAAACTGAAACGAGTGTCTCGAGACGATTAAATGTATTTTTGTAATTCATAAATGTGCCGAGCCAGGCATTCAGAATCGGGACAGGCATACAGAAAGGCAGACAGTAGAGTTTTTAAAATTGCAAATATTTTGTTGCAATATTTTGATAATTTAGTAGAATGAATGAGAGGACTCCCACACACAAATGTCTGACTCATCGCGAACCGAAAGATAGATATTCGTCGGTGACACAAGTGAAAACCGAAAGAATAGAAATGTTCTGTTTACTTGCATCTTGCAGATATAGAAATAGACAAGCCGACAACCGATGAATAAATTAGTCATGGTGCATGGTTTTACTGAGGTGAGACCTCCTCTTCGGATTTGCTCAGGTTCTCTTTATTTCTTTTGCTCGACCACTCATCCAAAGTGGCCAACAGATAGGTTGTCCTCGATTCTTGATAAAACTTTTGCCGGCACTTATACAGTAGCCAACATGACAGTTGTTAATTTGACGTGGAATTAGCTCTGGACTTCTTCAAAAGAATTTCTATACAATTTGATCCTAATTGATTATAAATTGTGGGTCACCAAGCGAGGTGAAGGAGAAATGGCAGAAGTATATATTATATTTCAAGCACGTAAGCAAAAACTTTTCTTGCCACAAGTAATAACACAAGTGAAATGAAGAATTGCAATAATGTTTTTAGTGCGGCGTAACACGCCCACTCTTAATTGTTTTGTGCCCATTAGCACAGTTGCCTATAGATTTCGATATAATTTTTCGAATTTTTGTATAGTTTATAGCTTATGTATTGAGCGCAGTGAGAGGATGGGATGAAATGATTGAATCATTTAGCATACCAAACAAATGAATCCGAATTTTTAATGTTTTAGAAAGTTTTTGATCTGAATATGCAACACAATTTAAAATTATTATCGGTTTTTTAGTACAGCTTTGAATTTAAAATAACACTTTTTACGAATATTTTGAATTTTAAATGTAACATTTTTTATTTCCTATTTTTCAGGAGGATGCCAACCGTGGCAAGCCCAACTGGGAGCATCTGTCCGATGACCTGCATGTCCTGATAACCGTCGAGGACACCGAGAACCGTGCCACGGTCAAGTTGGCCCAGGCCGTTGCCGAAGTACAGAAGCTGCTCGTGCCGGTAAGTGTCTAAAACCACTTGGCCCTTCAAGAACAAGAGTCCTTCAGAAAAGCCAAAAGTAAACCGATACTTGCCTAATGTATAAAATTCATAATGCGCCCGCAAAAAAGCTTAAAGTAAAAAGAGTTAAAAAAAAAGAGTAAAACTGAAAAATTAAAAACAATTGCGTGTTGCCTATCCCACCTCCTTTGTCTATGTTAAATCAATAATAAATTATTAAAAGATTTCTCAGCTAAACCGAATCGAATGTTAACCAATATAATTAATAATGAATTTTCTTTTCTCTCTACCAACAAACCTAATCTGCTTTAATGTATTCCGTTTAATACATTAAACCCCAACTACAAATCAATATCAAAACACAAACATACACTCGTACTAACAGCAAGCCGAAGGCGAAGATGAGCTAAAGAAACGTCAACTTATGGAATTGGCGATTATTAATGGCACTTATAGGGACACAACAGCGAAATCTGTCGCAGGTATGTCAACCAAAAGCCTACCTATATCTCCTAAAACCATCTAAAACCCAAAAAAAATAACCTAACTCGATCTTCACTCAGACATAGCTTAAAAAAAATATTAAAAAAAAAAACACCATAGATAATAAAACTACCACGAGAACTACCAGCTAAAATCGAATGAGCGGAGAGAAGCTAACCATTAACGATTAACGATTTTGCAAACTGAACCGTTAACGAAACCAAACTGATTTTAAATTCGATTTATATTTCTTTATTTTTGCATTTGATTTATGTGTACGACGAGCAGCTTTTTCATGCGTTGGCTCTGCTTCTTATCTGTATCCCGCAGTGTGCGATGAGGACTGGCGCCGCCTGATGGCCGCCTCCGACAGCCGGCTGCTGACGCCCACCGGCCTGCCCGGCCTTGCCGCCCAGATCCGCGCCCCCGCCTCCGCCCCGCTGGGCGCCCCCTTGATCCTGAACCCACGGATGACCGTCCCAACAACGGCGGCCAGCATACTGTCCGCCCAGGCCGCTCCGACAGCCGCCTTCGATCAGACCGGCCATGGCATGATCTTCGCACCGTACGACTATGCGAACTACGCCGCCCTCGCCGGCAATCCTCTGCTCACGGAATATGCTGATCATAGCGGTGGGTTGTTTGCCAGATAATAACACACGTATAGTACATACACCATCTCACCCCGAATCACTCTGTTCCATTTGCTATCTCTATATCGATTATGATTTATGCTCACACCAACCAACCAATCAACAAACACACTAAGCGAATCATCCATCAATCTAGGCAGAAGTTAGTCGTCTAAGAAGATACATATATGATAGCTACATGAATCGAGGGTTTAGCTGCGAGTTAAATTGCGAGCAATAATATAGCATATCGCCCAGACAAGCACACACCATTTAACACACACTAGAGATACAATTTACACGTTGCGCATACGCCCGGTAGGTTTGTTTATCCTCTTAACACATTAACCAAGTGCAATCGATTGAGTTTGTTATGACAGCCCAGCAGCGCCAGTGAACTCAAGCATCTAGTATTATTTCTTTTTTATTTTTTATACATATTTTTTTCTTCTTGTAATATTTGTTTTGTTAATTGTCTTGTTTACACACCTACTTGAAAGATTTAGAATTTGCATTTAATCATTAGGAGCTTGCATTTAATTTTTTTTGTTATAATAGCAGGCAGTAGAAGGGATATGCTGCAGTTATAGAGGGGTATATGTTCTTGATCTTGAAGTTGAAATATGTAATTTTCAATTTGATTGGATTGTATTTTATTCTATCCATTTCAAGAATATTTACTCATTTTATCTACAAAGCAGCTTGTTCACTCTTCCTGTATTCTACATGAGTCTAACACAATTATTGTTTACGTTCAGTGCCATAAAGTATGCTATGAGATTATTTCACGCTTCTTAACCTTGCTTCCTCTAAGACTTCACAATATTTATGATATCCTAACAAGAGCTAACAGAATTAATTAAAACCTTCATTATTTTATCCAAAGTCTATTTTATCTTATATATTTGTTATAAACAAAATATTTACAGTTGGTCGATATATGCATGCCGGCTCCGTCTTTTGAACTTCTCTTTCTCACTCTCTATTATTTTTCCCTTGAACAACAAAAACAGAAACGAATTATAGAGGAAACCCCCACAGAAAATATCTAGCCTAAAGTTATAAAGTTACAGTCACACACAAAAACTGGAACAGAATTATATACACACACACACATAAATGTATAGACTGTATATATTTTTAAACTTAAATATTTACCTAGAAACAAAAACATAAGAGTAAAACGGCACAACCAACAGGAAAACAGAAATACTCAAGAAAAAAAACAAGCAAAAACAAATCAATCAAGAAAATTATTGCTCGACAATGAATTTGTTTTTAAAATATATTATAATAGAAGATAGGTCGCAAAGGAATACATTTCTGCAATATGCAATATTGGCAAAAATAAGTGATTTTTAGGCCCTTAAATTGTAGTTGCTTTAATCTTAACTTTAACTTTTATGATTTTCAACCCGAAACATTTTTATATGAGTATATTCTAGTTGAGAAGAACAGCAACAGCGGCAGCCAAAGCAAGTTGTTGATTTTCGTTTTTTTGGAACCAATGAGTATTCAAATTAAAGAGGGCTAAACTTTATAATTTTCTCTTCTAAAAAATAACCCTATTTTAGTTTTGTGGTATGAGGGTCGAGTCTTAAGTGCAATTTAGTTAAGTATCTGTTTTTTATGTAGTTTTTGTAGTGAGTGTTGCGAAGGGGGGACAGTATTTATGCACAAATGTACCTAACGAAGAGCGAAAAGAAAACCGTTTCAATTTTTCCAGCCAGTGCCATTTCTCGTCAAAATCATATACTTTGATCAGAATTGCAGAAAAGCTTTTTTAAAATATATACACACATTTATATTTATATATCCCGTAGTGGAGAGGAGCCTTGAATCAAGTTGGTGCTTACATAATTACTTCAATTAGATCTAAGTTTAGTCGAGGCTCGAAGGCAGCCGTCCAAGAACAGAAACCATAATCCAGAATCAATTGAATGCACGACTAGTCAGCAAGCTGGAAGAACAAAATGCTTAAGGAACAATAAATATATGAACACAATAATCATTTCTAGAATTTATCCACAAACTGGAGACGAATATACCTAAGACTAAGCGGCTTGAAAATCACTTATTTTGCAGCCATAACTTAAAATCAGATCAAATATCGAATACACAGGCACAGATATAAACGACTCATTCCAAAGAAGCAGAGAATTTAAATGTTAAAAAGTTAAAGAACACCGAAAAACAGGTCAATTATTCCCCCTCAGTTGGCAATTGGCTTCCAGCAAAGGCAAAGGCAAAGGCAGCACAGCTTCAGTTTGAGCAAGCATATGGTAGATGTAAGGATGTACGCAATATCTTTTAGACCTAAGTTGTATCTTGTAGCGAATATGTTCACATCTATTTATACATATAACCGATATGCCTATGCAAACCTATATCTACATGTATCGTATCGTATATTTTAGTAGGCGCCATTAAGCAGCAGCGTCGTTTGGCGACTAACCGCGAACATCCCTATCAGCGAGCAACGGTCGGAGTGCCAGCCAAGCCGGCGGGTTTCATTGAGATACAGTAAATCCATCCCCAAAAACTCAGAAAGCAACCTCTTTTTAAATCGCATCATGTCAGCAGAAGCAACTTTAAAACTTTTTATCAATAATTTCCGGAAAAGAAAGAAAGAAACAAACAATTACGAACAACAGAAATCAAACGATTGGTGTCTGCCCGCCCTTAGATTACGTTCACCGGGCAACCAATCAATTTAGTTGAATTATTTTTACCTTTGCGCTATTTATTTTGATATCTAATGCTGCTCATTAGGCCCCTGCTCCACCCATCCACCAATCCATACTGTATATCCGATGAAACCTGGCCGGAAACGTTGGCCAGGCCAGGCCGCTCTGCCCTGATCAGAGTTCCGAAAACAATTGTCAAGCGCACCGCCTCCACAGGTTAGTTGTGTTTCTACTCCTTTATTTATTTTATCAAACTATTATTTTCTTTATGTGTTATATCTTTTCACCGGAATAAAATGCAAATGAGCCTCGTCGCTCCCTTGCATTCTATTTCGATTGCGAGTTTTGAAACAACAAACAAAACAAAATTTTGATAAAACAAAAGTACAGACACATGCAAAATCTATCAGTCCATTTAGCTGAAGATGAAGAGTTTATTATCATTTTATACGAATATATTTATACACAAATTTTTATATTAGTTTTCCTTTGTTTTCACGTTAACTTGTGCCTTTGATGTTTTACATACACTCAAAAAAAAAGTAGAAAAGAACAAAAAAAGAAGAAAGGAAATATTTTATTAGATTTTTATTTGTATTACTCTTGGATAAGCCATATACTTTATTGAAAACAAAAAGCTCTTTACGAGATATGAATTTTACATGTGTATCCTAGGCATAAGTCCCCTGTTTAGTCTGTTAAGATTATATGATTATTTTGTATTATGCGTTCGAATGTAAATGTTGCAATTGAACCGAAAGTGTACCACAAAGAAATAAAGATCAATGATTTTTGTTGAAATGAAAACAAAAAACCTTAAAAAAAAATGAACACAACAAAAACAAACAAAACAAAATCCTTACCAAGTCTTATGATTCTTTATTGTTCCACGAACATTACTTCTTTCAGAATTCTCCTAAAAAAAATATGAAAACCAAAATCTAACGCTTTCCGAACTTAACCCCCAACGAATAAATAAAGATATTTATTTCTCGTATTCAGTCGTCACACATAACTCATTGATCAGAAATAATAATAAACACTTCACTTTGTTTGTTTGCAACTATAGTGGCTAAGACAACTTAACTATAGATACCAGACACAACCGCATTTATACATAAAACCCTCACCCAAACACACACGTCCTTCGGGCATAACTCTATGCTTACCACCCACTCCTCGATTGATCATTAATCCCACCAAAGCAACCGTCAACCAGACGAACCAAACCAACCAACCAACTACTACCAAGATACCACCACAAGTGCTATGGCATATGCATTTTAATTTATGTATCCTATGAAGCGTATATCTGCATATCTGATAGACGTATCTATGTGTACTTACCACACCTAATCTTTAAGCTTATGGGTTGCGGAATTTTCTGTCTATGATTAATAGATTTCTAGACTAGTTATTTATATTACTTGTATAACTCCAGCCCTCATGAAATTGCATTGGTATCTGCTTAAAACCGAATAAAAAAGATGAAAAGCAAGGAAGGAAATTATTTATTTTAAAAATGTACCCGTTTTTGAACTTTATACAAAATTAAAATTTCAAAATATATAAATTTTTTCATAAATATAATGAAATTGAAATAAAGTTAATATAAATAACTTCCAAAGATTTTCAAAATTTAATTTTTCTAAAAATATCAACAATATAAACAACAAACTGACAGCATTTATGTAAAATAAAACATGTAAATAACGCTTAATTCATAATGATTCCTTTATTTTGGCATCTGTAAACACAAAATAATGTAATAAAATCCCACTCTGTCTTGAAAGCTTATGCACCTGCAATTTTATGTAAACTTTTTGTTTACTTTATTTTTTCCCTAATTATTACGTGGTAAAAATTATAAATAGCATATTAAAACCATTAAACGGTATAAACATTTATTTTATAGCAAACAAAAACCAAAAATGTGATGTAATACTATTGCTAATTATAACTAACCAAAGGCCAAGTTAACCAAAAAAACAAAACAAAAGAAAACTAGTAAAAAGTATTAATCTGAAAGGGATAAAAAACCATCATGTTCTTGTAAATTTAAACAGAGAACAAAACTTAAATAACCATAAAATGTCGCATCAAATAACGTTTCAACAACACAAAATTATTTGCACAAACTACAATTTCTATTTAAATTAATTTAATATCCTGTCGATGAAACTCTAATGATAATAATGTATGTGTTTGTCTTTATTAAAGTCAAAAATGTTGACCGCATCATAGGAATTAATAATTCTAATTGGCATTCAGCAAAAAGTTACTAAACGATTTTCGACAAAATTATTATAAGGCATGTTTTTGTCAGCCCCACAGATCATGTAAATGCTAATTAAATGCGTGGTAACTTTTTGCGGTCATAACTCGCTTAACATAGGATTTTCACATGAATAAAACTAACTGCTAACCATGAGATATTAATCCAAACTCTATTTCCACTTCTATGAATCTCTCTCTTTACATGCTAACTAAAACAAACCAATATATTCGACATACTCACAAACGTTTTATTAAAAACAAAATATATATATTAATATTAATATATTCCAACGTAAAATCCAATGGAAACCAAACAAACATCCTAAACACACTACCAATCCGCTCCTACATCCGCCATGAAACCATGAATCCATCGCCTGCCGTAGATGAGCACGGAAGCCAAGCAGCAGCAGCATCCCAGCCAGGCCAAAAGCAGAGCCAAGTGTGTGTTGTGTATGTGCATATCTGAAGCTAACAAAAATCAAAAAACAAATCAACCATAACCAAAATCCAGAAAACAGAAATCAGAGCCACCACATGTCACTGACACAACTACTAAAACACTCAAACCCGAAACTCTGCGTCCATTCGCCACACGAGCAGCAGATGCAGCACATGCAACACTTGCAACAATTGCAGCAGCACAGCAGCAACAGCAACACAGCAGCAGCAACGTCAGTATGTATTGAATCTTGTGGCCATTAAACTGTTACGTTTTGCCAGCAACAAAACAAGGCAATTAAGCAAACAATTGATAAGAGAATCAAACATAGAACTTAGTTTAATTAACATAATCTAAAGGAAAATACAATTTAGTTTTTAGTGTAAAAGTTCAACGAACAAAAACATACTTAATGCAAACATATATATATAAATATAATATGCATATACAAGTCTGTATATAATTACCCCAAAACCCCTTAACGAAACTAAGGAAAATCATGTTAACGGAATCTCATCCAAGAAACTCAACTCAACAAACGAAACTGTTTTAATTTTTTTTAAACATCTTCTCTTTTAACTCGTATTGGAAAAAGAATCTTTCAGTAGTTAAACGTTAGCCGTTTCTTCTATTTTCATTGTGAACCTTTTAAGGATTGGGCGAAAATTCTATCTAGTTCAAATCGCTATCATGTATGTTTGATACAAATCTTTCAGCCGTCGATTAAGAATGATCTATTTTTGTTAAACTGACGCAAATTCTTGTTAATGAAGTATTTTTTGATTATGTTATACTACATCTATATATCTGCACCCCACTTCAAATTGATTGTGTGAAAAGTAAGTGGGGGCGAAACACGAAACAACAATATCATACTAAACACATTTAACAGCCATATTTAGTTAATGAAACAAGCATAATTTGATGATAGCATCAAGCATTCATAATGTACAATTAAACGCTAAACTTAAATTATTTTAAATATTTTAAATCTAATGTAATATATGCAGAAATAAAAAGAAAATTACTTTTTTTAACCAAATAATTGTTCTTGAAAGCGATGGCCACAAAAGAAGAATTCTTTAATTTAAAATAAATATCACGCCGCCAATAATGGGATCGCGCATTGTTAGAACTCTTGATTGAATGTGTATCTATTTCTTATTTGTAACTGAAATTCCTAAGGTAAATGCAGAAAAAGATTAGCAGAGAACAAAAATAGAAAGCGAAAGTAAATTGCATTTAATTTATGGTACAAAGCAACCGCTGCACCCAACGCAAAGTTGTTGCAAACTTTATTTTGAATTAAAGAATTTTCATTAATTTTTGTTGGAAAAGGAAATGTTATAAATATGTGCCTTAAACAAACTGTATAATTGGCACCAATCAAAATAATGTTTAAAAATAAAATAATTTAAAAGAAGTATACAGAAAACCTGTTGAAATTATTCTGCGAAATGTGAGACTTATACTCAGAAACAAAACGAAGTTCAACCACATGGCAGTTGACTAACCTTATAATATAAATAAACATAATCATAATGTATAATTTTTATTGATAATAACGGCAATCGTGCAATCGTAGCAAACCTTGCATATGATTAGTTCAGAATTGATTTTAACAAGAAGGACATGTAATAATACCGATGATTGTGTAACGGAAAGGAAAAATCGTTTTAAATAATTTAGTTTTACGCTCATTACTTTAATCAAATGCTGTGCCCCTTAACATCGCACATTGCAGAAACATTATTCATTCATTGCCAGCATTGTCATCTTAACTGCATACTTTTGAGAAGAAAATCATTGATTAGTTGTGAGATAATCCATATGTTCAAAACCTTATAATATATCAAGTACGCACATGTAATTAATTGCATATGTACGACTGTATGTATGCACGATTATGTATAACTTTTTGCATAAATAAATGTTTATAAAAAAATAAGTTAACATTTTATTTCATCTGGACTCGTTCAAGGTACTATAATTTTTATAAAGTGTACGAAAATTTTTTATAAAGCGAAAGTCTCGTGAAATCCAGATTTTTCGATTTATGAGGTTTAAATGGAATATGATATCGTTCTGATGCTGAAAAGAGTGTTCTCTTTGCATTCAGAATGATTTTATTAAGAACGGTCAATTGAAATGCTTTCCAATTAATTGCACTCGGTTCATACATTTTTTTGCTACAGTTATTTTTTGGCAGCTTGTCCCTTGTTGGCCCAGAAATTTGTTGATATCAACAGTTTTTAAAAGATTTTTTCTTATTAAAGTAAATGTAAATTCGAAGTACTCATTTTTCCCTGCGGAATTAAATAATATAATAAATATACAATACAAATAAAATATTGAAATACACGAAAACCTTTTTGTTTCCTGTAAAATTATTTTATATACACGTTTTGCTTGCTTGAAAACATTTAAAACAAATCAAAGTCTTTTAATTAAGACCAATGTAAAACGAAGCCGGCCCAAAAAACCAAAACATAACATGATAATGAACTCTGATTGTATAACAAATTGTGAGGGTGTTTCTGTGGCCAAGGAAAAACGTGTCGGGTTTCCAGACTGGACAACCTGAAGTCCAGACAATAAGAAACCTAGCAAAGGTATTTCGTTTTGAAATTGTGTAATACTGCACCCTAAGGAGAGCTGTGGACAGGTGAGTTAATTACCTTGAAACCAGTGCCGGTTGGCTGGAAGGGTTTGCCGGCAATGTTTGAGGACAATCAATCACTTAGACTCGTCCTGAAACGAACCCATCGTCACCATCCACACCTGGCCTCGCTGAAGTGGACGCTAATTTATGCAGGACCCCATATCATGAACGGTGGTGATGGGACAGTAGTCTACCTGTTAGAAAGTCGGCTATCCTTGTGTTGTAAACAAAGGACGAAGCACGTGCTGATATCGAATAAGCGCATGCGCCACACTTAACAGTGGGTTAACAGAGGTCCTGACTTAACATTCCTTTTTAAAGAAGCTGCCTGCAGTTGGTCCTTTCAGTGCGTTTTTAGCCGTTCGTGCGGTTGGTTTAGCCATCAAAATCAGTCCCAGGAAACTGATCCATTGATATCCCATCGGTCGAATTGTGGCAACAAGTGTCCTGCGAGGATGTGCGTGAGAAACTCACTGTGCAGTGTGATTTTAATTTACCTTGTCGCTCTGCTCGGTTTGGCATTTGTGGTCCTGGCCCAGAACGAGGGGAATATATCCCAGTCGGCGGTGGCGGTGGGCGAGGAGTGTGGGAGTACGCAGAAAATGGTGGACGAGTGCTTCAAGGATCTGCCGCCGCATCTAATGGAATTCCTGCAGAACACCAAAATAGTCATCAGCAAAAAGGAGATCACCCAAAAGTGCAAGTAGGACATTCGACACGCAGCAATCGAGTGCGAAAAAGGGGGATATACATTATTGATTGCCCCACTCAGGCCTCTTATGGCTGGCGATTTATTCATATTTCTGCCGTTGCCGCAGGGACGAAAAGTTATTCAGGGACGTCGCCAGTTCGACAGGGGACTTGAGTTGGGTCCATTAAGACAGGCCCTACTGTCTGCGCCTCCAAGGAGGTGATTAATTATGCCGGCTTCAAGTGCCAAATATAAGTTACGGCCTTTCGGCTGTAGTAGGCCTCCGTTAATGTTAAGTGCTCGTTCTTGGGTGACAGAAGATTTTTAGAGAAGTCAAAACGGAAAATATGTATTGAAAATAAATAATAGGGAAAATGTGGTTAAAGCACTGCATAAAATCAACCGCAAGAAATCACTTGAAGCTGCTTCAAGGTTAAGAACATATAAACCGCGACGTTAATTACGTATTTTGCCTTTAAATGACAAATAAATAAGCTGACATTTGGCATTGGTGGGCCATCAATTCACTAATTGAAGTGCCCTGTTCATATTTTCTGGTGACGGCAGACGGTTATAATATTTATAGGCTTATAATTTGGGTATAACAATTATAATATTTTTGTATAATGCTTTTTGTTACAAAATATTTTTGCCTCAGAGTGGAAAGTAAGTTGACTTATTTTACCTACAAAGGGAACACAGAATCCATTAGAGACTAATATGAAATGCAGACTTATTGGATTACTTGCGCGTAAAAGAAAATTTTATGTAAGCCGAGACAATATAATTTGTAATAATATCTTATTTTATGACCTGTATTGAACCTAACAGATTCCCTTGAACATTTTGTAAATTTCTGAAGAGCCTTTAATATAGTTTTATTGATAGACTCTACCCATCCTGTTGAATATTTGATTCGTGCTAACATAGAAGCATAATTGAATTTAGTTTCAATATAAACTGGGAACTCTGTTGAGCATTGTGGAATACACATTCAACTAAGTGAATTAGAAAAGATTGATTAAATTTGATGAGTTAAATCAGTTTATGGAATTTGCAGAAATGTTAAAGCAGGAGCACAAAGTAAGTCAGACACATTTTATTCATACATATATTAGTCGTGCCACCGGAGGGGCAAAGGCATCATGAGTGGCACTCAATTAGACCTCACTCAATTGTCCCTCGCTGAAATCGAATTACATATTGCAGCATATTCAACCGCGGCATGAGGTGCTTCGATACTTACTCGAAGCGTTGCCTGGACGATCGAAAGCTGGGCACGTTTAAGAATAATGTGGAGGGAGCCCGTCGATTTTTCTACAAATTCTGTGGTGACGCCGACTTTCAGCGGGGTAAGTTTGACGAAAATTAAAAGGACTGCTTTGAAAACTGTTGAAAATCAATTTGCCATGTTGACACTTGGGGGAAAACATAAGGATGCCTACAGGGCCCAAAGTGTCGAGCACACACGCATATCTTACAATATACACAAAAACATTGAGATTAGGACGAAAAGCCCCCCGTCAAGACACACAAATAAGGACCCCAACTTGAGGGGCTTTAAAGTGCTCAAAGGCACAGCAGCAGGGGCATTATTTATACACGAATCTGAAGAATCCCCCTCCTGATTGCAGACTACCTGCGGCACAAGGACTGCTTCGCACACATCCAACTGGATTGGGTCACCTGCACGGGCGAGTTCGAGGGCATCCTCAGCGAGGAGGTGCACGACGAAAGGCGCAACGCCAGCGAAAAGTTCCTCGAATTCTGCTGGTATGCTTGACTAAATATTTTCATTGCATATGCATAACGACCTGTTTTTCCGAACGCCCTTACTCGCGGGTATTATAATATTCTGAAGTAAATATTTTTGATTTTAAGAAGCCGGCTCATTGAAATAATACATTTTTTTTACCTTTAATCAAACACTTATTTTTTTTATTATTTCAAAAGAAGCATTAAAAAGTGCAGGGCTTTTGAAAATTAAATTTAAATTTGAAATATTAAAGTGTACAGTTGAAGCCTGTTATGTTAGGAGAAGTTTATTTTCTTAATTTGATTGTGAAATAATATTTCTTTTTAAAATAAATATTGCTCTGGTATCACCAAAATTTGTATATTAATTTTAGAGAAACAACAACGTTGTCCCTATCTCTTAAATATCAAAATGACAAGGCTTAAGCCTTTTGAAAATCTAGAAATTCAAGTTAAATGTTTAAGTTTTAATTAAATTTTACTGGGCAGGAATTGAAAATATTAAATGAAGGTATTATACTTTAAGGTTGAAGCTTTAGTTTTTTGTTTTATGTTTTATTTTATTTAAATATTACCTTTTTTCTTTTTCCTCCTACTAAATAATATTTTAAAATAAATAATTATGTTTTACGTTAAAATGTTAAGTCTTTAATACCTGGAAATTCAATTGATATTTTTTAATTTTTGATTACATTCGACTGGCGAGGAATGGAAAGTAAAATGACTAAAATATTATAGTTGCAGCTTTAGGGGCCATATATCTTTGGGGCCAGATAACCAGATTTTTCATTTTGCCCCGAGGCTATTATAGAATTTTTAGCTAGCCCTTTGTGTTGCACAGTTTTTCCTGGGAACAGCTGGGTCCTTTTTGAGTAACGACCTATTTGCCATGGCCAAGGCAACTAAATTGCACGCCCCCGCTGGCAGTGGGGAATGACTTTTCAGGGAATCGATTTCAATCAAGTTTCGGTCCTTTTTACAGTGCCCGCTATGCGTACGAGAACTGCATCTACAACAGTGCCCGCTACAAGTGCTACAAGAACTCGGCGGAGTTTGCCCGCGAGACGGCCAAAATGCTGTCGGACGAGAAGCACTTCAGGAACTGCGCGGTCCTCCAGAACATCTGCGCCCCGAATGGTGCCGGACGGGGCCTGGGACTGGACAAATGGCATTGGATGGGGTTCCGGATGAGGATGACGTTGACGCTGCTGCTGATGCTGCTGCTGGTGGTGCGGATTTGGCCGTAAATCGAAATGTGGCCAGGACACCCACTAGTTTTGGCACTGTGTGATGTGTGATGTGGAGCTGCGGTTGTGGCTGCTGGTCTGAGTTTGAGTTCTCCTTGCTTTTGTTTGTTGTTTTGTATTTTTTTTTTCTGGGTTGTAGTTGTCCCAATGAGAATGCCAAGCATTTCAGCTCCCTTTAGTCACCCATCGATAAGATAACAAAAAAAAGAAAAGAAAGGAACCCTCTATCTCTACGTGTCTGTGAATTTTCCAGTGTCGTTTTTGGGGCGAGATTGCTGGGCGGGCGGGTTACTGGGTCGGATAGCGGCACTGGTTTTCTGTTTTTCGTATGTTAAGCTAACTCGAATGCATATTTCGAAATAAATGAATATTCACGTTGTACTCGACTTGTGGTTTTATTGGTAAAGGTCATCGAGAACGCTGTGGAAATCTGCCCACCAGTGCCTGAAACCGCTGTAGTTTTCCTGGGAATTCTATTTTAAACGGTGACCCAACCGCAGCCGTAAGGACAATAAGAAAGTTCCTCTGAAACCGCAGATCCAAGGTGGCGCACAGATACAATTTTACAAAAGGCGAATACCTGAATTTCAATATCGATGCAAACACCTGCTGTGGTAACGAATGGAATTCCTGAAAAAAACTTCAAGTCGAACTGCCAATTTCACTTTTTCCTGTTGCCTCCTTTTTTTATTACTTTTTATATTGACTGGCATCTATATTGAACTTCAAATTTTCTGTGGAAGCAATAGAGTACCCTGAAATGTTATCCATTTTGGGGGATTTCAAGCTGTCCGTTTTCCTTAATTTTTTCAAGACTTAAATATAGTATTTTAAAATAAATGTTAAGCTGTTCTGAAAACTTTTTTTTGTACCAGAATTATTTATTTCTTGCAATTGCATCAACATAAATCTCTTCGGTCGCAAATTTCTTTCTTCAAAAGATAAACATATTTATTGAGGCGAATGCATTCTTACGTTAACCCCCAGGATACAGTCAGGTTTTTTTTTCCCGAAATCCAAATCCATATTCCTTTGAATTTCGTTTCTCATCCTATTTTTTTTAGCAAAAAGATGAGCCGTCACTTTTGCCTCTGCTAACGATGCCTTTTGCCAGTGGGGTTTTCGGTAAAATGTCAGTTTCGTAGAAAACGTGTAGTTTGACACCACTCTTTTGAAAATGTTTTGTCAAGTTATTCATAAAAAAAGCTAACACCGAAGGCCAAAGATCAACTTACTCCCTTGTTTAAATTTTCGGCAAATTCAAAGCATCTTTTGAATGCCCAACTATGAAGAATCAATATTTCTAGCAAACAAAAACAATAATCTTTATTATTACCAACAAGATATTAGAGTACAAATATTGAGTGGTTCTTGGAAACAATTTTGAATTTTCAGCTGCTAAGGTACATAGTTTACCCGGCAAACTTTGAAATATGAAACATAAAGTTCGCAGGTTTAAGAGTTACTCGTGCTCCCATCGAATGGGGGTGGCTGGTCCAGGTTAATTTCACCAGCACGCTTAGTTTTTACCTTGCAGCATGGAAATTGAACGCTAATGGCTGTGCCAGTACCCACATACCCCCACCTCTATTACCTCCCATTAGCAGTCCCTTGTTCCCGTCACTGGGAATCTCAATTACTTCTCCATAGAGTAGCGAATTTTGCTCCTGACTTGTGGTGTTTCGTTAAAAGCGAGAAATTCATAATATAGCTTTAAAAAAAAAAGGGAAACCATTTCATATAAGCCAAAAAAATATAGTTTTAATCGAGTGGAAAGTAAAAGGGCAGGGCAACCTTTTAGGTTTATTAATAGTTCCTTTGATTTGATTTTTACTGCTCGTCAAGATGTCCTTTGCATGCCAGACAAAGAAATAAAACATAAATAAATTCCTGCATTGGAATGAATTGTGATGTGGGAGGGTGTATTGTAATTTGCATATCAAGGATTTCTTATTTAGTTCTATGTTGAAAGTGAGAATCAAAGAAAGAGAATAACTAAAAAAGGGAAAATTAAATATTTCAGTGATTAGATGCGCTACTTTTATGAGATAACTAAAAGCTAATAATTAGTTTGACGCTTATAACACATAATAAAATATACAGCAATAAAATATTAGCTTTGCTTAAATTTACTAGGTACTATACACATAACTTAACTCTTAAGTGTGCTAGGATTAGCTATCTCAAAATAGAAATAATATATATATAATTCTCAGCAAAAATGAAACTTAATCTCACTTAATGCTTGCAATTATTGCTATATAGTTAATATTCATTTGAATTTCAACGTCAGCAACTTGTGTACTTCACCAGCTCAGTGGAATGCCTATTTCCGGCTCAGAATTTTAATTAGAAATGTGCAGGGGAAGTAAAGGCTTAACTATAAATAGTTAAGGCAAATACACATTCCAGTGAACGGAAAAGCCAGCCATCTTTCCTAGAATAAAGGACGTGCATGTTCAAATGAGTAAAGCTGGATTATACAAAAAATGTTCGTAATCCGTAATAGAAACCCTAATGCAAATATCCTTAAAACACAATGGACCGACTGCATTCTGTAAAAGCGATAATTATAATGGCCCTAAATTTGATTCCGGGTCGTTAAGCTTGGCTCTGCAAAATCCTTGAACGAACAAAAATCGAACTTGTAATTGAATCAATTAAGTGGTGGTGGATTCGCCGAGCGGTTCTTTGCCCCAACTTTTTGGAAATTCGATGCGTTGCATATTTAACAAGGTCGAAACGTGTAATTAAGACTGATAAGTATAGGGGCTAAAAGTTTGAAATGCTTATCAATTATTTCCATTTGCTGGACTTGCGCTGTTTAGACCACGAAATTTAGACGGTTCTATGGTTGAGTAACCTTTTAACTTTTTCTACTCTTACATACGGCTTTAACAAATAATTTATGCAGCAGCAAATGCAATTTACATTTGTAATTGCAAGTGCAAAAAGTATGCAATGAATACTGAGTATACAAAGCACAGCTTTTAAGAATTAATTGTAGGCTATCATGAGATTTATTTTCGGTACTGTTTAATCACAATGCCTCCTATTCATTTTTACCTCCCTCAAATTTATTTCCCCATAAAATTGGAAATGTAAGCACAGTTGGAATATGAAACTGAAGGGCTATAAATCCAGAATACATATTCATAGGTACTCCCCTGGGCTTAATTCTCATACATCATTTTCAGTATCGACCGAAAGGCAGGTGAAAATTATAATCCAATAAAGCATTTCGTTCATCAATTTATGACTTTTGGCCATTCAAATTTCGACCTTGCCATAAAATATTTTCTATTTCGTACCCAATCAAAAATCCAGTTACGATTTGTAGGCCTTAAAGATCAATAAGTACATTTTGCCTGTGATTTTATAAAAGGCAATAATAGGCATTGAAAATTATAATTAAAAAACCCTTTAAATGCGACAAAAAGTGGTTGCATTCTTGTTATGGTGCGGCAAACTTTTACAAACTTTAAATAAACAGCCAAGAAATTTCTATGCGTCTGTGGCTGGGCGGGAACTTTGGTTTTTCTGCACTATTTCAGGCCAAAAATGGAATATTAAATAATGAACTTAACACAACGTCAACGAGCGCTTTATAATGCAGAATAATTAAACGAATTTGTCCCCATTAATGAGGATGTGAAAAGAGAGCGTTAATAATTTTTAATTATTACCACTTAAAATGGTTAATAAGCCTAATTAGCACATGCAATGATTGTAATTATGAATTTTAATTCCATATTTATCAGATTTTAATACAAAAATACTGCATGCCAATGTACATATGTACAACATATGTAAAGATGTTCGTGGTTGCACTTATGTATGCAGTATATAATAGGTTTAATAAACACGTGTCTTTTTTGTTTGTTTTTTTTTTATTTTATTCTATATACATCCTAAATATCAGACGGCTTTCGCTCATTTGCGGGGTTTAGTGGTAGCAAAGCCTCCAGATTATAATCTCAGCCGCTAATAATCTGCGTTATACCGTCATCGTAACCACCTCCGTAACCACCGCCACCCCCACGACCTCCTCCTCCACCACCTCCTCCGCCGTTGCTGTAACCGGGTCCAAAGTTGCCCGAATATACTGGACGGCGACCACCTCCTCCGCCTCCTCCTCCATTGCTGTAGTAGTTTCCACCTCCATTTCCAGCTCCTCCTCCTCGTCCTCCTCCTCCTGTGTAGATTCCGGGTCCCTGGCCTCCGGGAGGATTACCTAAAAGTGTAATTTAAATTAGTTCGTTGTGGTTACTTAATTGCGCGTTCGGTTTTACACCTTTGACATATTTATGGATACCAGTTACTATAGAAACTAAAAGCTGTCTTTCACTAAATGTAAAATATTTCATAAAGACTTTCAGTTCTTTTGTGGGAGATAATATTACCCTAATTAATATTTAATGTTGAATACTTTTTTACCCCAGGAAAACTTTACCCCCTAACTACAACTCTTTTTAAGAAAAAAACTGTATAGAAAGGGGGATTAACTTACAGTCGTAGCAACCGCCGCCTATGTAAACAGCCGCCTCAGTTAAAGCCAAAGCAGAAAGAGCGAGAATCGCCAGTGCCGTCAGGTGTCTCATTGTGCTGGTCTATCAAATGGTTGAACTGGTCTGGACCAGGTACGATCCACAACAGCGCTTATATACGATGCAATCACCGATTCTCCGATTCCGATGCTGATCCCAAGCAGACCTTATCGCTGCAAAGAACTTTCGCAGTATAAACAAACCGCTACGTAAGTATTAATCTCGGCAGGGAATTGCCCACAGATACTTGACAAAAACAATTAGAAGCGCATCAAAAAGTGAGTCAAGGTGTTTGGTAAATACTCTACTTGGTGGTAATACTATAATAATATTACATAAGATCATTATTATATAGATCACATAAAACATAAAATTATTAACAATTTAATTTGATGATATTTTTTAAGTTTTTCAGTTCATCTCTAAAAAACAGGATTGTTATATATTAACTGTTCTCACATTAAACTACAAATTAGTCTTTTTTTTAAACGTCTAAAAATATATTTAATTTTAATGCGTAGAACCTTTATGCATTTTGTATTACTCGATAAAAGATTGACTTATTATTTGGCAATTATTGTTTAACTTTGTCAATAAACCCATTTCTTAAGTGTCACTACGTTTTGCTCACGAGTCACGACTTTCGGGACAGAAACCAGTTTTGCCCAGATGTGTGGCTAAAAGTGATGGGGGTGTGATTCTCTGGAATCGCTTGCCATTCATGTTTAGAGCGTCTAACAATAATATTAAACTGCGTTTTTGGGCGTGACTGTCATAAATTTCTTTGTAAAGGTTCAAGGAAATCAATTACGTCGAGCTCTATCAAAACCATATGAGGAAAATCCCATGGAATTCAATTTGATAGTGCTCGGGGGAAATTTGTGGGAATAAAAAATATGTGCATAGTATAGTAGAAATCAAAAGCAGCGCACTGCCGTTAGCATTCAGGCTTATGCAAATTGATTTCGATTCGGATCGTACTTGCTACCGGACTATATAAGCAGCGAGAGAGTCTTTATGGTCATCTATCGGCTTTAAAATGAAGTACCTGACGTGTGTGCTGCTGCCGTTGGCTTTAATTCCGGCTCTGATTGGCGGTAAGCTGGCCGGGATTGCTACTGACGCTAATTGATCCATCATTTTCTAATCATTTGCAGCTCATCCCACCACTGTGGTGGTAAATGGCGTCTGCCTGACTTGTAAGTTTCGATTGTTCGGCTCTGCCAGCCGGTAATTAGAGAATTCAGTGAATAATTATGCACTCGAACAGGTCCCAATCCGAATGGAGAAGCCGTTTACCTGGATGGCCAGGAGTACCGCAGTTTCTCCTCATCCAAGAACGATGGCAATGTGGTAATTTCCCGAGGAAGTGATGGTAGAGGTGGAGGAGGTGGTAGTGGCACAATTTACCGGAGAGGTGGTAACACCATTGTCAACGGGCGTTGTCAACATTGCAACGTGGATCTCTATTAATGGTGGCCCCAATAAAGTCTGAACATTGAATTAAAATTCCCTTGATCAATCAATTTTATACTTACTTGTCTATGTACGACATGAGTTCATCTGGTAAAAGCATTGACAATCGTTCTTCCCGCTCTCTGTGCAAATTTGATGCAATGATTGTGATGGCTTTGAGTGCAGGGAGCATCGGTCGAAGGGGAATGCTTGGGTAAAACGAACGTTTTATATTCAGTTTTTCTTGTTTTTTTCCTGAGTACACTTGAATAAACTCACAGTTTAGAATGGAAAATGTGTAAATGTTTCCAAAAAATTTACTGTGAGGTTTGGTAACATTTGTTATATATTTTACACTCAAAAAATCCGCTAAGCACCAGCTTTTTCGACTTTAAAAGCTGAGCAGTTTTGGGCTCCCATTCTGATAGCCATTGGAATTACGAAAAAATCGAACATGAAAATCGGTTAAAAATCTGACCCCTGCTTATAAGAATAATTTTAATGTAGATCAATAGAGAATTTCACCACAAACTCCTAGAGGTATCCCACATCTAAATCGGAAACCAATTACCCAAGTTATGAAATTCAGAAGAGCAGTTTTGGGTTCGCATTGTGATTGTGCTATTGAAATTACGAAAAAATCGAACATGAAAATGGGTTAAAAATCTGACCCTCTCTTAGAAGAATATTTTTAATGTAGATCATTAGACAATTTCACCATAAACTCATAAACGTATCCCACATCTTAATCGGGATTAAATTACCCAAGTTATGAAATGTAGAAGTGAAGTTTTGGGTTCTGATTTTGAAAGCCACTGATAATATAAAAAAAATTGAACATGAAATTGGGTTAAAAATCTGCCCCTCGCTTAGAAGAATAATATAAATGTAGATCATTAGAGAATTTCACCACAAACTCATAAAGGTATCCCACATCTTAATCGGGATTAAATTACCCAAGTTATGAAATTTAGAAGTGATGTTTTGGGTTCTGATTTTGAAAGCCATTGGAAATATGAAAAAATAGAACATGAAAATGGGTTACAAACCTGACCCCCGCCTAAAAGAATAATTTAAATGCAGATTATTAGAGAATTTCTCCACAAACTCATAGAGGTATCCCACATCCGAATCGGGATTCAATTACCGAAATTATGAAACTTGGAAGTGCAGTTTTGGGTTCCGATTTTTGAAGGCCACTGGATTTATGGAAAAATGGAACATGAAAATGGGTTCAAAATCTGACCCCCACCTAAAAGAATAATTTAAATGCAGATTATTAGAGAATTTCACCACAAACTCATAGAGGTATCCCACATCCGAATCGGGATTCAATTACCGAAGTTATGAAACTTGGAAGTGCAGTTCTGGGTTACGATTTTTGAAGGCCATTGGATTTATGGAAAAGTGGAACATGAAAATGGGTTCAAAATCTGACCCCCGCCTAAAAGAATAATTTAAATGTAGATTATCAGAGAATTTCTCCACAAACTCATAGAGGTATCTCACATGAAAATCGGGATTCAATTACCGAAGATATGAAACATGGAAGTAGAGTTTTGGGTTCCGATTTTAGAAGGCCGTTGGATTTATGGAAAAATGGAACATGAAAATGGGTTCAAAATGTGACCCCCTCCTAAAAGAATAATTTAAATGCAGATTATTAGATAATTTCTCCACAAACTCATAGAGGTATCTTACATGAAATTCGGGATTCAATTACCGAAGATATGAAACTTGGAATTGCAGGCTTGGGTTCCGATATTTAAAGGCCATTGGATTTATGGAAAAATGGAACATGAAAATCGGTTTAAAATCTGACCCCCGCCTAAAAGAATAATTTAAATGCAGATTATTAGAGAATTTCTTCACAATCTCATAGAGGTATCCCACATCCAAATCGGAAACCAATTACAAAAGTTATAAAATTTAGAAGAGTAGTCCCATTCTGAAACCCACTGGAATTACGAAAAAATGGAACATGAAAATGAATCAATCTCCGAAATATGAATATTTTGCATAAACATATAATATATATATATTCTCAGCAAGACATTTTCCTTATAAAATATTTTTTCAGTGCACTGTGAGCGGTCTGTTTGTCAACATTGGCTCCCCCTCAATAATTGCGCATTAAAGTGACAACAAAAGCGTTACATTTTCCAAACGGATGGTTTCCATGTATTGGAAGTTTCGCCTCTGTTATAAATTCAATCTGTCTAAATCGAAGGGAAGACCCTACAACGTTTTTGTGGCCGAATAATACTGATATTCATTTTGCCGAGGGCTTCAATTGTTTAAACACCACTCAGTTCACCTGTTTGTGGCCATATAAATTGCGTGGGAACATGGGGTCGCGGTCTCCTGGGAATTGAAAAGCATCGATAACCAAATGCGAGTAGCCATCCGTGCAAAATACACCAATGGATGTACGTTGTACATACATAATTTTATCGGTTCCGATGCGATGTCGTTGAAAATGATGAGCTGATGTAAATGAGTTTAACGTGGCGCGTGCAACGTTACGTATACGTTATGCTGCTCCAGCAACAACAAACAGAAGCCTCTCAAATATTTGCTCCATAGTAACTACTTGGCAAACAGTAAACATCCACAGAATGCGTACATCTCATGAATACACACATATTCGTTAGGGATTTTCGAACAAAAGCAGATGCTTAGTTAAGAATCTTAACTTAAGATAGTCTTAGGCAGGAAAGGAAAAGTTTCCAATGCCGTTTTTGGGCTATAGAAAATTGTAACTTGAGTGTTTAATTTAAAGGAAATGGAATTAAGTAAAAGAACTAAATGAAATGCAAGCATTGTTTCTAGCTTAAAGCTTTTTGTCAGTTATAAATATAAATAAATATAAATACATTTTACTTAAGGTCAAAGGAATGCTTTCGCAGAAATTCCGGGAATTCCCAATATTAAAGATGTGCTTTTCTAAGACGTGAAAATTCTTTGACAGAAGAAAACCTGTTGATGACTGGCTTAAAATTCCCTGACCTCTTAGATGGCATAACCAAGCCAATCAAAAAAGGCAGGACATTTATTCTGATTTAGTCGTAATATACCTTTTTTTTTAGCAAGAAGGTGCCATTTCCTATCCTTTTGGCCCAATATTGATTACGTTGAATTTGAGAAACCCCAGGATGCTGAGAAACTCGGCTCATGCAGGGTAGTTTATCTGCCTAGCAACTTAAGGCCTTGAGCTGGGTAATGCTTGCAATTGAATTTATGTTGACTTGTATTTGATTTCAGGTCAATTTCGTTTCTCTTGTGCCTAATTTGTGCAGAATTAGAGGGTTTTTTTGGGGGCTCAGGTGAAAGGTGAGCCAGGTGTAGCGGAGTACAATAGTAACCTTTCCTTTCAGGTTTTTTTCAAATAAATTTCAACTTTTTTCCTGTTGCCAATAAGATGCTAGCCATAAGCCAACATTGATTTATTTGTATGTCCGTTTGGCTGGACCTTCGAGTGCTGTTTGCTTTGTGGCACCGCCTTTGGTAAAACCGTCACGTACTGGACCAACTCTTATTTCTGCCACTGGTTGAGCTTTATTTGCAAACCCCGGCCACACAGCAAATTTACATAGCATGTTTAAATTATTATTATTTCCCCCATCGTTGAAATCTTCCCTTTTCTGTTTACTTTC